GCGACAAGTAGATTTTTAGAATGTAAATGGAGTTAGTGAGGATTTTCAAAATGTTTCACATAATATTCTCTTTTATTGCTCTCGAATTAAAGCGTGTAGTGAAGGTATTTGCCCTAAATGTACAATTACGTCTATCGCTGTTTGCCCTCGTCACTGAACTTAATCAAAAATTTCAAATATAGGCCTTTATACCATTTGAGCCTTTGGCGGACCTTAAAGGGATCAACCAAAGCTCGGGCAAAAGATTTCACTGGACACTGTGGCGTTTTTTGCTCCGCGATGCCTTTGGTGTCCAAATCGCTTACTTTGCAATGAGATATGTTTTCTGTATTTTAAGAACCAACTTCAAAATCAAATATTTGGCACAACGAGGCTGTTTACAGTCCTTACCTGACTCACTGTAAGATTCAACTTTCTCGGTTGCACAAATGGCCATCATTATCGATCTTGAAGAAAATCAAGGCTAAAAATTATCTCAAAATTTCGAACTGCATGGCACTTTTTTAGCTGAACATGTTGATTTAACGGAAGGACATTATTTGCGCCAAAAGGCTCTTTTTAGCAACACTAAAAATCACGCAAGCTAAAATATGAAGTTTTCCAACTGCTACTGTTAGGCGTTTATTTATGAAACATGAACATGACCGAAGAAGCGCTGCAATTTCATGATTTTGTCTTTTCATGCAATGTGATGTAGCTGGGTTTGTGTAAACTATGGCTTTGTATTTGCTAAAAGTATCGAGAATGGTGATAATAATGTTAGTTAGGCACTCATAGAGGGTATCCCCCCTACCATTTCTTGACGATTCGGTGACAGCGATTTAAGTCGAAAAATAATGGCAATGTATTAACATTAATCTTGATTCCATAGAATTTATTATTAGTTATGATTTATGCCTCCTGGATTTACAATAGCCTCCTACAGGACTAATATTACTTACTTTATAAGCCATCAGATGTTTGGTTATCTACATTCCATGGTATCTTCCATGATCGGTTCATTAACCTACTTAATTTTGGTAGCTATTAAATAGTTATAACTTGCATTTGCTCCTTTTGGTGGATTTTTTCTGTCATTTTAAGCAATTAGTGTGGCTGAAACGTGTGCGTACATTGTTTACATTTGTCTGTTACCTTTCACAACAATAGGACTTATTTCCTTTCTTAAAAATATATTGTTGTCTTGACACGAAAACATTTAATAATATTTGTTTACAAGGATATAGTCGTTAGTGAAAAAGACTGGTCATATTTAGCCACTAAAACGGATTAGGGTATACTCTGACTATGAAAAGGCATTAATTTGATCACAGTTATTTGAAACTATTGAGTCAAGAAATAAGACGGAAAAATGCCAATCAAATTAAAAATATTTTGTATTCAACAGACATATCAAGTAAACCATTCCAAAAATGGGGGTGCAAACACTTGTCTAGCATAAATCTAGTTTCTTAACAATTTTTTGTAATTAATAAAGCAAATGCTTTGTTTTTAGGAGTTAAATGATTGAAACAATTTTAACTAATAATCAACCCCTTAATAACGAATAGCTTCAAACGACTCTAAGCACTTCTGATCCCTATTAATGTCGTAATATATTAAAGTGCGCCAACCTCCAAAGCCACTTCTCTGTTATAATCAAGGCTCACACTTTGAAATGCTGGACAATTAAATACGCAGATTTAGCGGCAAACTGCAGCCTTAAGATAAACCTTACAAAAAGGAAACCAAATTCTAATTACACAACAAAAGGCATGGATCTAAGCAAAATAATCGTATTAATATAAACAACAGAACGTGTCTGCTTTACTTTTTATTCAAAACTAATTTTCATAATTCATCGCCTTTTTTATACTTAAGCCTATAATAAACGCAATTGATCCTTAAATAAATAATTTAAATGTTAACGTCTTGCAAAGATTTGTCAATTTTCGATTGCATGCAGAAATGGTTTTTATTTTAACGAAAAAGAACGGAGTTTGCAAAAATTGCCATCCTGCATAAGTTACCAAAGTCTTAAATTTCTTTACATTATTTTAACAACTTCCATTACTTAATAAAACAGCAAAAGTTCACTAAGTGAAGTAAAAGTCCCATTACAAACCTGTCATATTGTTGTAAAATTTAAATGATGCACACGTGCAAATTATAAATTAGAAATTACGCACCTAATCGTAGTCACTGTGCAATAACTTTGGAAACTACATATTATTTCTTAAAAGATGGAGCGAAAAATTGTGCAATCAGTAATAATTATTGATTTTGGGTTAAGGTTTGGTAGAAATGATATCCGAATTTCAGTTCTGAGAAATCCAGAAGGCTTTTTACTAATGACCATTAAGTAACATTGCGATCTTACCATAAAACTTGGAGCCAGCATACAAGGGATTCAATTTGATATTTTTTTATTGTCTTGGTCCCTCTAAGTATTAATGACGTAATTTTACAGTTTCAATGAGTTCATATAAATCAATCATAATTTTTGTTAACAATTGCAATTTTCTGCTAGAACTTTACAGGTAAATAAAGTTTGGCAAGTGATCAAATTTTGAATATTTTCTAGCCACCAAATTTGTAGTCTTATTTTTTTTAATAAATCAGTATTTACACTTCATAAGGACAATGATAATAATAATAATAACAATAATAAATAACAAATCATAGCAACTTAACTATATATTATAATGGAGTTAGGAAGATTAAGTTAAGGTTAGCTACTTGCATGCTGCAGTGAAACATAATAATTATGATCATCAGCTGAATATCTTTACCAGTACAACGGCTTACTTTGAAATGAGCCTTCCCAGGCACAAATTCAGCAGAATTACTTCTCACATACTTGTAAGCTAACCAGTGGCAATAAAACTTCTTATTTTCGCGTAGCCTCTGACGACATTGCTAATTTCGGAAACGCATTTATGTTTTCATTATACCTCGGTAAGTGAACTGCTCCCTTTGTAAGGCAGAAGATCCACAAACGGCAAATTCAGTTCAATTTTGTCTCTTAGTACCAGTACATATGCACGCTACCATTTTACGCTTTTTTCTGCCGTTAGCCTTCTTTCCTTGCAAGTCATTTCAATGTTTGTTTGCCTTCTTTAATCTTTTCAAAATGGTGACCAACATCTCTCTTCAACGAGACCGAACCACTGCAAAGTAACTGATATATTTCAGTAATTTCATTTTGTCTCTAATCAATAAAGCATCCTTTCTCAGGAAGGCAAACTAGATTTTTCAAGATCTTCCTTACAGTTAACCCTATTGAATTTTTATTTTTATCTCAATGCAGAAGGCCAATTTAGGCACGTTTCGCTGACAATAATTACATATCCAATAAATCTTCTTAACTTTTGTGGGATCTTTTGATCTGCTCCTGCTGTAGCATCGTGCTTTCAATACAATATGCTTATGCAAGGCATTCCATTGTTTAAAATTATTCATCCGTAGTCAACTTTAAATGTTAGAGAGTGGCAGTATTTGCAAAATAACATCAATATTTCTCCTTTTCATCTGACTGGTTAATAATTTCTTACTAAAAGCACTAAAACTAAAAAGAGATGCGATGAAAAATCTTTTAGTTTTCTAATAGGGAAGCTTAAGATCCTTTTAATAAAACCTGATTGATAGTTATTTAATTTGCAAGAAGCCATTGTCATTTAGGAATACTTTTCGGTTAGCAAGCCACATGCAATTTACCTTTAAAATAATTTAATGGTGCGTGATCCAGGAAGTACGGATAATGATTTAAAATGTACTCACAGCAATTATTCAGCACCGGAATGATTGCTGTTTGTGAATAAAAAAGTAGCCATTTTCGTGATTTAATTGTTAAGTTTTCATAAACGCTTTTGACGGTTACTTTTGGTGGTAATTTTTAGGAGTAGTCAGATGTGCTCAACTCCAGATACATTAACTTTCAACAATTAGACTACTTTTAGTGTAAACTTTACTGACTACACTGTTCTTAGTGCCAGGTAGGCAGACCGCTTAGACAAAACCCAAGGTATTTAACTAAGGAAATAACAGCAGCAGTGAACGATTACTATAACGAAGAAGCCACGAAATCCTATATATATTTAATATTTTCAAAACGAAGAGCCGTATGATAACTGTGTTCGTAGAATTTTGATCAAGCATGTGGAATGTAAAATAATTTTACATCACATGCCTCTGAGTGCCGTTAATAATCAGCCAGGTCCTAACAAAGTATTATGCAAAACAATTTCATAGAATAAGTCCGGTAAACTACTTTTGATCTATCATTCAAAGTGGAGTATTCAAAACCCTTTGATCAAGATAACCGAAATTAGACTAAAAACTTTCTGTCACGTCTACCTTAAAAAGGCAAGCACGACGGTGCCAAATAACCTGATTCTCTTTATAATAACAAGGCCAGTCTCAAATTAAAATTAAAAACACATCTACTGCAATGTGGTACATGAACTAAAATCACATGTTCATGTGTGGAAACGGATAAAACAGTCTGCGGAGGTTCTCTTAAGTCGACCTCCTTAGTGACAGTGCACTTTTTGCTCCGTCAATGTAACCCAAAAACTATGTACACGTTTTAGTCGTGCTTGTTTCCTGAATTTAATATCAGAATACAATTTCCTCATAATCTTTTAAAACAAGCAATGAAGATATTTAAGTGAACTTGCTCGTCTGTCGTGGGTTTGATATGTGCTTCTGACGTTGGATCTGAAGTGCTACGACAGCATAACATGAAAAGTTTGATTTTAGAATGAGCCACTAAGTATGTGTTCACCTCTGTAGGTATGCGCATAACCTTTGTGCTTTCTGCATTGTCAAATTTCATTGTTTTTTTCATTCTTTTCTTTATCCCCCGAAAGGTGTGTTACCACACTCAGTACTCAAATACTAGTGTCTAGGTTCTGAAGTTTGGCATGTACCGTTTCTACCTGTCGTTGATGCCTTGAAATAGTGCAAGGAGAAAAAAAGTTCTTACTCCATATAGGGCATTAACATAGTTTCATTAGCAACTATAAACAAATCTTACCTTCAAGATAATCCGCTGTGTAGGTGATCGGAGCCGTCTCACCACCACAGTACCGCTGCGAATTTAGAACCCCTTCAACAGAAGTTGCTAATTGGATCGTTTGTCCCTTAGATAAACAGTCCCGAAGAAAGAGAAATGCCAAGAGACCCAAGGCTATAACAAACATTGTGAAGACGACGGCAGCTACGATAAACAGGTATTTTGCTTTCGTGAGTCCCGGAAAAGAGAAGGATTCTGATGTCAGCGATCCAGAAAAATTTGCGCCTGGTGCCTGATGCACAACAGGCAAGCCCTTTCTTGGATCTTCAATGTGATGCGTCCACGCTTGCCTCATAACAGTTCCACTCTTTTGAACTTTTCTGGAATCTTTTTCAGGTGCCCGCGTGGCTTTTAAGAAGAGCTCGTGTCGAACAAAGAGTCGGACTCGTGCGGTCTTGGTGAACTGACGTGCACCTAAATCCATCACTGTTACATAAAGTTGGTGTTCTATCGGAGTTAGCATCTGTTTAGGAGCATTACTTTGGAGGATTTCTGTCAGTGACCTTTTCACAATAACATCAGTACATGCCTCAGTGCCACCAAATACATCAATTCGACCGATGCCGAAAAAGGGTTTCAGGTACTGTGCACAACGCAAAGTAAAGTTTATTTTTGCGTATTCTTCAGAATCTTCATCTTTCGCACATATCCTAAATACAGATGAGTTTACTGCAGCATTATTACTAATGTTTACTGCAGCAACACTAGGGCTGTGACCTTTAGTAAGAGAGGTAGGTCGAGTGAACACGGGTCCATTGTCATTTTGATCCTGTAGGCGAATAGTAACTCCGATTTCAGACGTGAGACGCTGATGTAACGGCCCTGAATCAGTTACTACAACGGTAAATTTGTGTTCAGATAGACTCTCACGGTCCAAAATACCGTCGACATGAAGCTGCCCTCCCCGACTTATCCAAAAGTTTGCTGCTGAGTGGTTTTGCCAAAAGAAACCTGAGGTTTGTTTAAAAGAGTACTCTAGGGTTCCACTGGGGCCATTATCTGCATCCGTAGCATTGATTTGTCCAATGAACTGTTTGATTAGGCGATTTTGACCAAAAGATTCAAGAATCTCGAATATTATTCTCCCTGATTCATTTCGATTACCTTCAAACACAGGTGGAGAGTCATTGACATCCAATACAGAAATTGTAATATTCACTGAAGAACTGAGGGGAGGGTCACCTGCATCTGTGGCTGTGACAGTTACACAATAAGTTGATTTTGTCTCTCTGTCCAAGGAACGTAGAGTAGTGATCTTTCCAGTTCGATCATCAATCATGAACAGTAGGGTCACATTTTGCTGCTCACAGCTTATAATGGAATATTTCAAGTCAGAATTTCTGCCCAAGTCACTATCATGGGCTAGAACATAGCCGACTAGCGCACCGTTTGGTTCGTTTTCCTTCACATCGATGTTACGAACATTTTGGAATTTCGGCGCGTTATCATTTATATCCAGAATTCCAATATTAAATGTTTGTCGAGCAACATTGATCTGTGGACGACCGCGATCAGCACAAATAATTGTCACTTGGACATTTGGAGCAGCCTCACGATCCAGTTTCACACCACTTCGTTTAATAAGCGTAAAAACCACGGGAACCTTGATAGCTGTAATAGGCGGTTTTAATGAAACCAGGTGGAAAGGATTAGCTCCTATTATGTTGTTCCATTCAACATCACAGCTAACAGCTGCGTTCTCTCCCGTGTCAGCGTCGGTTACTGTAACCGTGGCTAGTTTAATCTCTTTTTCGTCCTCTTCGGGAATCCAAATATCTGCTTGTTTACTGTATCTCCAATCAGGTGAGTTTCTCGCAGGTAGTGGGCTGAGTGTTGTAACACTTATCTCTGGCTTATTATCATTACAATCTTCCAGATTAACTTCGATGTTTGTCACATTAGTTAATCCACCTCCATCTTTGGCCTCAATAGGAATGAAGAATTTCGGTGTGGCTTCATAATCTAGGTGTCCGATAAGGTATACCTTATCCAGGTACACTATTGCCTTATGGTTGTTTTCAGTGGCAGATCTCGTTTGCGCAATGCTAAACTGTATCATTCCATTATCCTTGCTGTCTGCGTCTATAGCAACTACTTGAATTAGAAACCGTACTGGGGCATCATAAGCGTAGCCTTTAACACGCAAGAAATTACCCAACTCGTCATTTGTCTTCCACATGGGTTGTCGGTATTCTTGGGCGCATTCTGGTAAACGAACTTGGTACGGCAGACCAATCCACTGAGGACTATTGTCGTTTACATCTTGAATTTCGACTGTTACAAGCAATGCCACTGTCAAGCCTTCCCCATCATAAGCGTAAAGACAGTAAAACAGTCGGCGAAACATTTCGTAGTCGAGTTCCTTGATTTGCCGTAGTTGAGGAGCATTATCTGCTGAAATAACTAGGGAGAAGATGTCGTCATCACCCACCGTATGCGAAGAACATGTCTGTGGATTAATGTCAGCATGTATACGAGTGAGGTGATAGCCGTTTATGCTATTTTTTCCCAAGTCTGCGTCCTGTGCAGGGGGCATGTAAAACATAGTCCCGGTTGGAGATGATTCTGGAACGGAAATGGTGATTGTCGGTGGCTCAAAAACGGGAGGATTATCATTTACATCAAAGATTGTCACGCAGATAGTCTCCAGTAAACTCTCTTCATTTATAGTAATGTGGACCAAGAACGTAACGTCACAGCTTGGACTATTGGAATGTTGTGAACTGAATGAAATATTGACTGTTCCATCAGTTTTACAGATATCTTCTCTGTCGACCCGTTGTGTGGTTATTACACTGCCATTCGTAGGATGAATAAAAATGTATTCGGAAATGGGTTTTCTTGCAAGACTAGTGAAAGCACTTCGCTGCTTTACGGGTAGCTGTCCAATTACAAATCCAGAAGGAGTGTTTTCTTCTACCTGAAATCGATGTATGGAGGGAACCACACTGTGAGCCAAAGGTGCAAAAATGAGTACCCAAAAAACTACATGCATCACAAAGAAGCTTTAATAAACCCTTGGTCACTTAGACAGCAAAAAGTGGCAGTTTGTGTCATCATGTGAGAAGGAAAACGTAAACCTCTAGTTTGAGCATCCGCCAACCAATCAAAATCTTCCAAATATGAGATTGGCTAAAATTGACAACAGAAATGATTTACTGACTGTACACGGGTAGTTGCTAAATGAATATTTCAAAATATAACTTGCAATAAAATGTTAATGAGTAATCAAGGCAATTCGCATAGTATCTCAAATAGTTTTAGCACTTTCATTTCGTAAAATTAGCGGGTTGATGTTTCTTCATTTTTTTGTGCAGAACTTATGAATTCCTGTTGAATGTTCTCTTTACCATTTGCATGAGTTTTTCTTGGATGAAACAAGGTAAGTGTCATTCGCAAAGTGAGAGGCATTTCGTAGCGAAAAGAATAAAATCACTTAAGTTTAAAAGTGAAATTAATAGGACAAGAAAGGGGCTGAAGTAGTCGATCTCACTTCCAAAAAATGTCTACGTTAGTAGTAATGAACGCGGACGTAAAGCTTGGGTCGAAAGTAGTGAGAAGGGCCTAAGTAGTCCTGACGCTTTTATTTTTTTTTGATTTATTAGCAGGAAAAATTATTTCGGCAGGGTATTATGCCGGACTATGGCAACCTTGGACAACCAAGTGAACATTATAATGATTCAATTTAAGAAGAGATGCCATAATTCTTAGTTAAGAACAGGGTACACAAAAACAAATTACCTTCAGTGGTCCCATTAATTTTAAATTAGTTGTTTTAGAACAAGGAGACATATTTTGACATGACCAGCACAAAGTAACCTCCATAATTGCCGCAAACAGCCTTTTTCAATTTACATGAAATGAATGTGATGCATTTGGAAAAAAACTGCGAAATTTGTTTTGCATTTAAACGCAGAATCTAACCTCTCTTGAATGATCAGAAGTAGACACCGTCATTCACCCTAATCGGACCAGAACATAATAAAATAAAGTGCGACAAAACAGGCCTTCGGATTGATTTGGTATTTTTTTGTTTCTTCTCTTATTATAGTTGCGGGTATCATATTAATAAACTATTGTCAACTCAGCAGACCATTTTCTCGGGAATTAATACTTTCGTAATAATGGTTTTCTTCGAATTAATAATGAAAATCTTGCAAACTAACAGTAATTTGTACCAACCTGATACCTAAAAATATTTAATTTTTGGCAGTCAACTTTCGTTTTAAGAATACGAATGTCCACAACATTGAATTTCATTGTTGTGTTTGATGTGGTTTATTACTAATTTTAAAATTTCTCCAACGGCCTTTAATTCTCATGGGGCCCTGCAGCTTGCCAACTAAGACATTAAGTGCCCCAGGGTTTTACATTTTCTCACAGGATTCTGTTTTGAAACATTAGCAATTACATTAAAAATTTTCAATGGTGCTTGAAATTTTAAGACAGTGGAAATGCACTATGCGTTCCAGATCTTGTGAAGGTTAACACACATTTAATGGTTTTGAATTTAGTATGGCCGCCTGATTATTTACAACTGTTCAGCTCACTATTCGGCTCCATTAAAGAAATTATCAGGTTTGTAGACTTTAAGAATGCAAACTGACTTAGAACTGACGTTAGAAATTAAGCACCATTTAAAAAAATGAATTTAAGGGAATTACATAAAGCTTTCTCCTTTAATTAACTTTGAACTTACATTGGTAAAACAGTATATTTAAAAGCAGTGGGAGTCTGCTGACAACTGGTGAAAAGAGAACAGATCAGAATCAGGAAAGTTTAGTTGCTTTTGGAGCCACAAAACCAAGTTTTCTGTGCGTAGTTAAGTCGTTTTCACGAAAAAAATATAATATGTGTCCGGCTGTTTATGCGTAACTACGATTTAATAAGAGACAGCCAAGGAGGCTCTAAGCAGAAGCCAAATAATCTCCTCCAAGAGCAGTTTACTCATGGCTTGTAAAGTGAATTCACCGACTGTCCAGAGAACGCTCCACTCAAGGATACTAATCACCAACACTATTTTAGTTAATGCAACACTGGAGCAAAAAACCCCAAGACAAATTTTCTTTTCAATTTTGAAGCAATGTAACAGTTACGGTAGCTGCAGATATTATCCGGTGAAAAGTTTAGACCATGGAGTGACTTTGTTTCAACGAATGCAATTTTAAACCAGAGGATCCTTTGCACACCTCAAGGCATAAAACCACTGCTTCGTGCTAATTAGTCTTGCACATAAACGGTGCTCATCTGTGTACTGTTTGTTAAACTTTAAAACTAATAAAGATGCTTTAATTTGTCCACAAATAATATTGTAGAGTGACTCCGGTGTGGGACTCGAACCCACGTCATTTCGTCTGTCGGATTAAAAATCGTAACCTACGTTGCTGTCATTGGTAAACCGACTAATCTTTGCGTGGTTGTCCAAAGACCTTAATCAATTTAACATTATCATGCAGATGTCAGAAAATCATGGTGGTTCATGTTTAATCCTCTATTCAGATCCGAGTTTTGTGGCGCCATCATTTTAAACTCATTAGGTCAGTGTAACTATTATTGGGTGAACCGATCTTTTTTTATGTGATACTTTGTCGGGTGGTGGGTAAACCTTATAGTCAAATCGTCTTTTTACGCAGGCACATTTTAGTGATCATTATTACTGTAATGAAAACAAAATAAAGGTAACTGATTTAAAATAAAGACGTTCTGGGAGTAATATTTCGTGTAAAATTTGTCCAGTACTATCAAAGAGATAAATGCAGTCATTTTGAGCTATGTAATTATGTGACATCGAAGTGTGTCCTATGGTGCCACTATTAGAAAAGCGGATAGATATTTCGTACCAATGAGGGTGAAATGCATGCCCAGCATGGGTGTCCAGTGGCGCTTACATTGGCCACATCCACCACTATTAGAAAGACACCTTTGAAATGCCGTATGGTTTAGTAAAATAGGAGACCAAGATGACAAGACGTCCGTCCTACTCTTTTAGAGCTTAGCGGAGTTACTTCACGATGTCGAATTTGATATTTTTCATCGATTATGGGAATGTAAGTAACACCCTAGATTTACGTAGGATGCTTCAGGCCATTCTTTATGGTATCCAAATAATTCCCTGTTCATATCTTAATAATTCACAGTTTACATTCCTGTGTTGCGAAATGATGGACACGAAGTATTCAGAACAAAGAAATATTACCAGAGTCGATAAAATCTCGCCATTTATTCAATCACAATATATTAGTGCTTTGGTTTTTTAGATTCAGTAAAAGCATGACTGCAGTTTGAGACTGACGGCCAAATCACGAAACAAAATTTAAACGAGAAAAAAATACTCAATCCCAGGAAAAGTTTTTTTCAGGTATAGTAAGACATTGGTAGAACTTTCTCGAGCACGTTTCATGCTGATCTCCGGCAATGGTGATGCTAAGAGTCTTTAATTTTTCGCTGAAGTTATAAGATATTCTTACCCGATTTTGAGACTCAGGATTCTGGCGCAAAGATATACATTACTTAGATTGTTTGGAAACTTGTCAAAAACGTTACCCTGGCAAAAGTGCTAACACAGCATAGTGTTGGACTCGAGGTCATGAAAGTGGAATTTGCCACATTCTTTGTACAAAATGAAGCACATTTATCTCCAAAGTATGGTCCTTATCAGTCTAACAAAGCCGATAGCCGTGGCCTGAGGTACAAAGCAGAGGTGAACCCTGAAACACAATGCATCAATCTACCAGAGAAGATACAAAGTTAAGCCTAGTTAGTTCAAAAATTGACCTAACTCTTGATGCCTTTTGTATCTAGAAGTGAATTTTTTCAAAGGTCAAACATATTGTAACAAAACTTTACACTCCATTCGTTTGCATTATGTTGATTCAGGCTGTTTTATATTGATGATTTTGTTACTGGTCCATGGAATTGCTAGGAATAAATAGAATTATTCGATTTTTATAAGTGACTTGGTCCCTTGAACTGGGCAAATTTCTGCTACAGTTGTTCTTCGAATGTACCAGGACTTTTCATAAATCGTGGTCTTTAGGTGATAAATTGCTTGACATTCATCATCGCTCGCCGAAATTAAAAGAAGAGCAATCTTCAGGCATGCGCGATTGGGGTGGACGAGACTAGTCCACTACTTTTAGCCTCACCACGCCCACATTCCTCCCTACGATACCCCTACTCTCCATCTGCCTCACACTATGAAGCTTTTAAATATTCAAATGTCCCCACCCTGTTTAATTTTTTTCAATTAACACACATATCCGAACCGCGCCCATTGCGGTAGGAGAAAGTAATGCTTCTCAGTGATATACAATAATTGCAGCTTAATGCTTTTGTGTCGGTGAGCTCTGTTGTAAGTAACTCTCAAGGCGTCCATGACAATACATTTTGGGTAGAGACAATTTCTGTCTACCTGATTGATAAATTTCCCCATCGGTAAACGTGTTTATGCCATGAAGTCAATTTATCTGTGCACATAGAAATGAATTATAGGAGATAGACTGTTGATGAAATTGTTAACTTTTGAAATTATTTACCTGTTATGATCACAGTCCATAAAGTTTTGGCGGAGCAGTAAATAAAAAGTTGATTTCTACTTTAACTGCTTTTATTAACGTTTATGATAATAATCAACTTAGCACAGCAAACCTTGATATATGATCGCACTTCACAAAAGGTGATCACGGTGAAGTTACATGATAAATCGAAAATTGAGGTTCAAGCCTTCGTGAAGGCATACTTTGGTTTATGAACAACTTCTCTTTGATCAAGTTTCCAATGACGGAATGCATACTTGAACCAACGCTAAATTCTTTTCCTCAAATTATCTCAGTAAGTGACGTCGCTGGTTGTTGCTCTAGTGCTGAGATTTTCTATTAAAAGTCACTGATTTCTTTTTGGCGTATTTAAGACCCTAATTTATTTCTTCCTTCAAGTGAAAGCATGAAATAATGACTCAAGGCTACTTTCACATTTTGCTGGATTATAACTTATTAATACATGGGTGATGAGTCATTTGATTTCGTCGTAAGAGATTTGAGCATTTGTACCTGGATTCGATCAGCTGGATATAAAAGTGGTTCAAAAGTGTGCATTTGAATTCTTTCTATAATCATATTTAGCAACTTCTAATAATTTTTAGGCTTCCAGAAGCCATAACACTTTGTCAAAGTTTTGTTTAGAATATTTGCCTGTATTAATGATGACAACCACTTTTAGGAATAAACATGACATGTAACAAAAAACCAACCATTTGGAACATTGTAAGGCCGTGAGAACAGGAAGTAAATATTCAGGATTCACACAGACCCATTATTTTACGGTTATAGGTTTATCATGACAATCTAGTGAACTTGCAAAAGTGTTCCTCAAATCATTGTGACATTTGGAATACTGCATGGGAAACGTGTGAAAACTGACTCAGAAAAAATCCCCTGTATGGCCTTCAGTGGCGAAGACGACTTTGCAATAATTTAGGGGTCAAATGTTGCACTACTCTTCCACCTACAAATTGCCACATGTGGGAGCTGGAAACACTATCTTTTCAAGGAGACTTTTTATTGTGTGTTTGAGACTGTGAGACCTTGGCAGTGTTCGAACTTAAGCAAGCACAATTTCCACCTTTAATTAGTTAGAACTTTTAAACGACAGCTAATTTGACTTCAGCCCAAAGGTTTGTACCATGAATGCCAAAGTGGAGGAGGGCTTATGAGACACTTCCGGTTGACTTTTCCGGAGCAAGGTAGTACCAATCACTCCCTTAGGCGTAAAAACGGAAGGTTCACATGTACGGAAGCCCGTTAAAGGGGCAAACGCGGGCAAAAACAATCATTGCAGTGATGGGTTAGTTCGTTTAAAAAACGCCCTATCCTTTATTCCATTAATACAAATGGCCAACTTGCTTACATCTACAACACTTTTTTGAATCCAAGTACATCAAAAACGGATCTAATTAGTTAAATTATAAGTGATTGCACTTTTTAGTCAGTATTTGCCTAGTTGTTTTCATTTTATTACGATTACCCGGTGAATACGTGATTTCTAGGGCGTTTGATGCTGAAAACCGCCATGAGAAGTCAAGCAAAGCAGTGATGTCGCCAAAGCTGGGGGAGGAGACGAATTCCAAGTCAAGTTTCCGATTACCACATGTGAGGTTAAGCTTCCATAAGAACACTGTCTTGTTTGAAACCACCATGACACTAATTGTACACGATGGAGTAAAAATCCAATCCTTTTACACCTTGAAACAATGCAGTTGGTAGAGTAGACAACAGTGTACAGAAAATCGAATCGTGGAATCCAAAATTTCATGCAACAAGATTTCTCGATACCATTGTATTACGCTACCTGGAACACTGATGCAAAACTCCGGATTGTAGCTAACCGGAGCCCTCCTGTTAGCGTGTGATGAGCTTCTCACACTAGTGGTCACATATGAGTCAGCGCCTCCTCACGCTAATGGAGGATCATGCAGGGCCTCGTGCAGAGGACTTTTACCGTCACAGCCAACGACCGAGTGCACGCTCACGTGGCCCAACTTATGTATGACGGGGACGGCCTTGAGCGTAGATGAGAGAAATACTGCACTCAAAGGTGTATGGATTACTAGGAGGAAGGCAATGTAAATATGAAAGTTGGCGTGCATAAGTATGAGTAACAATGAAATGAACAGAGGATTGTGAATATTTAAAAAAAATATAGTCTTGGAGATGCTGAAGCCCCGACACATTGGACTTGTCTTAGTCACTGATGTGCAGTGTTTATTGTCAGTACGCATCGCGCAAATGTTAGCGTCCACCGGACACTTGACTTCAGGTATGCGTCAATATTTTTATTACTAATTAATGGTTCTTTCTAAGCACGTTACCATCCATTCTTCATACTCTCTCGCCTGTTTTTCCATCAAATCCAAAACACTTATGCGCATGATTCTTTAGAGAGACGCATTTATAAACATTCCTTTCTGTTGCAATAGGGCCAGTTTATGAAAACAGTTGTAAATTACCTAATGGATTGAAGATTCTGGCGGTAAACGATCGGATAATAGAACGGCGTTATCGGCGTTATATTGTTGCAGCCATGTTGGCACTAGCTACCTGCTAGTTGATAGTCTGTAGCAACCCGATAAAAAAGGCAAGACAGATGATAGCGATCATAGCGATTTATCTATATTTCACCAAAAAAGTCTTTTATGGCAGATAGTGTGAGTGAATATCGAATATTAACTGTAATCGATAGCCGATGACATTCGATCAACTCGTGAATAAACTTCACTCCCGCTTGCTTGATAAGATTCACTACACTACAAATTTTTCGGGCTATTAAAGATTGTCAACTAGCAGGTAGTTAGTTCAAACGAACCTGCTACAATATGCCTACATATAACCTTAAAAAAGGCAATTAAATCCACTGATAAGCTTTTGAATTCTTTGTATCTGAATAACTTTGACACGCGTATAAATTACTTGACAATTACAAGTCGATGCTATACGCTCTGTAGTAAATAATAATCAAATTTAAAATAGTCTCAGAGCACGTATAAATTAGAAAATGTAAAGATTCACAACTTAGTGTGGTTTAATCGAGTTAAAATACAAAGTTGCAAGCTCAACACCAGTTAGATCTAAATTATTTGAATTGCTATTAGATTAGGTGCTAACCAACGTAAGTAACAATAAAAAATTAAAATAACGCTGCATAGACTCATTAAACCAATTTTTAGCAAAAATTAGTTCAACATCAATGCACAAATACAGTATGGAAATCAAATATTTTACTAGATTTGCTGACGAGTACAGTTACCTGCAAGGTATAGGAGTAATAACTGGTAATTTGTCTATAGACAGAGAAATAACTGTCATTGAGATTAAATTATATATTATTATAACAAACTTTTACTACAAATATCTACAGTTTAGCTAATGTAAAACTCATGATGTCAGTGGAAATTAAAACATTCTGGTTAGTGGCGGGAGTAAAAGAAAAAATAAATGACGTCGACGTTGCAAAAAGATTCACTAAGTCGCTTAGCTGTGTGTGACATAATGATACAAAATGAACATTGAAAAACAATTAATTAAGAAAGGTTTCTGTTACATAAAGTGTGAAAACAAAGTGAAATATTTAAACTCCTCTTGAAAATAGTTAATCAGTTAATATAACATTTACTTTGGCCCTTCAAAGCTGTCCTGATAATTTTTCTGGTCATATGTGCATTTTCTGCTTGAGCCGCTAGACGCAAATTTAAAACCAGAGCAAATTTTCAAACTTGTTTTAATCAGTGACTTGGCGTCCATTCCAGCGCTATTACGTTTTCGTTGTTTCGGTCCTTCCCGTGATCATGGCTAAGACGTGCGCTGGTTGTATCAGATCGTTAATGATATTCTTCAATTTCCTATACATTGTACGTTTTGTGCCTTATCATTCGTGCTTGTCTATGCGAAATGCGCTTTTATTAGCGGCCCAATTAGTTAATTTCAGGCGCTCTGCATCTACCGTTTGCAGTTCATTTACCGGAAAGCCATTTGCGATACTATTTGCATTTCATTTTGGATTGCATTTGCAGATTTCCGTGTATATGAAATGCACATCATGTACTATTTATCCGGAGTCATACGCATCCACCTTGGACATCTGTTGTACCTGCTGTACATGCGCTTGTCAGTCATTGTTATTTGATCTGAGGTAGAAAGACTGCGTCAAAACTCTGGACTGATGCAACGTGCAGTGAATGCGTGCGCACAAATGTTAAAGACGACAGCCTTTTATTGTTTGTTTCGTATTCGCGATGAGGGCCTTCTAATTGCGCCTAATGATTCGTATTTCTGGTCGCGCTGTTCTGCAGCAACCTCTGCGTTGAATCTCGTATAGCATGTGCAGCCGTACACCAATTTGGTTTATTTGAAGTCATGTTTACTTCGACGCATGCGGGGCTGCCTGGCCGTAAATCGCGCCTATGTTTGATAAAAGCAGTGTCGGCTTTTGGTGTGCCCTATTATTTTCAAGTCTTGGAGACTAGTGTGCTAGTTCACAGCCCTATTCGAACTACGGAAATAATTTAGGAACACATTATTATAATGTAATCGGCTCTATTAAACCATTTAATGAGGTCCTAACTAGTTCTATTATTGTCCGCTTAAACTTTTTTGCACGATAGCTTTAACCGTCCGTATGTGGTCCATCATTGTCATCCCCGCTGTTTCACCGACACTCCAACTAGTGTATAGCGTTTCACTTCAATTGTAGTTCTTTGGTCAGATTACCACATGCAACTCTATAAAAAGATTTTGGTCTAATATTTTATGCAATTGTTTGTTTTCTAGTTTTGAATTGTTCTTTTTACGCTGGTGGGCTGAAGTGGATGTTTAGAACACACTCCTAGTAACCCAAGTGAGCCGAATCGAGTACGCTGTTAAAAAGTGGTGTGCGTTATCCAGTCTTTTCCATTGATTTGTGCTGTTGGTTGACGTTGTTTACGTTAATTGGACGGTTAAACGCCCACGCGACGACGTGGCCTGCACAGTTTCGCAATTTCAGTTCCCTGCTAGCATGCATCTAGTCCGCTGCTATGCCCACACCCTTTTGTTCGCGTGCATTCTTCACTACGTATGCTTTCATTGTTGTGTAAATTTTTCCTAGCTCATTGGTCTTGCCATTGTCGGTTTGGGTATCTACCTCCTTGTTTCCGGTTACGTCAGTGATGCCTCCGGTGGTTTAAGCATTCTCGCCTACCCATGCATTGGACTTACGATTTTGGGGATCATCCCAGTTTTTATTGCCGTATGCGGTTGCTGGGGTGCACTCAGATACAACCGCTGTTGCCTGGGCATGTATTTCACATTCCTTCTGTTCGTCTTTGCTGCAGAAGTGGCTACGGGGATCGCTGGTGTTATTTACAAAGAAGAGGTAACCATATTTTTACTGTTTGTGACCATATGCTTATGTTGTAAACTATTTTCATGTATATTCAAACTAAAGTAAAATTACAGGTAATGCAGATGAGCTGATGGTCCATCGTGGTTGCTTCCATATCCAATTGCACCAAAGTGACTCCTTCATTACAGATAATGGCTTACACTCTGTTTTTATTATTTTGATAATTATCTTCAGGTAACTTTTGAGTAGCCCAACGTAGTATTCCTTGCTCTAATCCTTAGCTGCGAATGTACATCCTGAAGTACTTGAAAACGGCCGTCGAAGAATATGAACCTACGGACAAGTTAACATCTCTGGATCTTGTACAAGCGACTGTGAGTTTTTCAGCTCAATATCTTTACTGCGATTTCATTCATGTTCTGTGTGCCACCCACTTGTCCGAATACCTCAATTCGCTTTGTTAATGTTGCTCATGAGCCTGAAAGGTCACTTTGATGATGCCTAATCTCTCTCTCAAAGGGGGGTCATAGCCTTACCAAACTCAGTAGTTTTGGTTCAAGACTTGCAACGATGTACTACTAATATGGTACATATATTGGCTAATATTTGATTTACAATCTAGTTTGTTTGAATATTCAAATTTTATCAAATGGTTAGCTAAATTTGGATTTTAGTATAGTCGCAGTGTGGGTCTTAGCAAATTTCCGGTGAATATTAGCATTTCCGTCAAGTGCAAATGAAGAGGAGTTAATTGGTAGGCTAGTTTTGAAGTTTTGATGACTTTTTATGCTCTGCATTGTCTAAGTCCATTTCGTTGTTGAAAGTGGTATTGACAGCACGGTTTTAATGTGCAATAAAACTTCATCCTGGACAAATTGTGTAGACATTTCAAAATTTCGTAATTACTCCTCTTTAATGCAGTTATTGTATGGGGAGCTCCACCATAATTTTCTGACAGACCCAAAGTATGCCAATTCCCAATATTTAACCGCAGTGGCTTCTACGTTGGTTGCACCCAGGAATTGGTTTTGGCTACTCCACTTTGTCAATTTCTGTTGTTTGATAACCTTTTTTGTAAAACTGCCACGGCCTTGAAAGAGGTTTGCAGTAGCATGACTTGCTTGCTTTGCCTAGTAAATGGCCTTTTCTGATCAAGTTCCTCGCTCAGTTTATTCGTTTGTCGCCTGCAGCGTTCCGCAGTCACGTCTAACGGGTTTCCAGGAGTTTGTAATCAAGTGCATCCTTTATGTCCCACCAGATATACAGGAGAACCTTTTTTAAGTGTATGTCCTGTTTAGGTGTCGATGTACTGGGTTGCCTGGGATCTGCCCACTATTTTTTACTCTTGGGATTCTCGTAAAAAAAATATAATCACCCGTCACAACTTTCTACAATAAGCCCTTTTCTTTTTGCCAGTGGACAAGCAGTGAAAGGCATGTGCTTATACGTTGACTTAGGTTGTCTTCGGTCACCACATGTGGCAATTTCTTCATGTACAAACGCTTGGTGCTCATGCTGTTTTGGTGCCTTCTAACTGAGCTGCAAGCTCTTGTTGCGTTTGCGTTGAGTCTTCATCCAGTAGAGCAGGTATTTCCACATCTTTAGGCTTTCGAGGTTGCTGTGCAGAGCGAAGCTGGTCACTAAAGTCGAACTCACTACTTTTAACACGTGTCAACCAATAATTAAACGTTTCATAAAACAACATTGGCATTATGAACTCTAAAAATCGACTTCCCTGCTTTAGAAGCACCCTTTCCTTGTTGGGATTCGTATAAAGTGCAGAGCTGAATGTTTTGTTATTCAACTCACACAGATTTGTCGTTTGGTCGTGCAAAATCTTTCAAAACCACTAAAGACCACGAAAATCTTTCGATTTTTAATGATTTTGGGATAAAAAAATCTGTATGGAGTAAGTCATGCACTTATTAATTGACGTTGCTAAAAAATTTTCTAAGAATTCTTCGTGCCAATTTCTTTCGATGATTTGTGTGGGACACATTTCTACATCTGGCAATGCAAATTTCGTGTTACCTGGCCATGAAAAGTAATCGGAATCATATTAGGACTACTAGTCAGTCTGACATTTACTACGTGTGGGCTGGGCTATATAGCCGGGACCGGCTAAGTTATGCTGTTTGTCCATAGCGAAACTCAGGTTATATTACCTTATTTGGAAAGCAGAGTTTTGATTAAGAAACCTAAATGTATTTTTGTGCGACTTCTTCAATTAAGTGTTGTTAGAGGAGTTCCACTTTGTTGACGTTGTTTGGTCAATTTTAGTTTCACTGTTGTGGTTACTCGGGTGCAAGTGATTACGGCAAAAAACCTATACCTAAATCTTGTTGTGGATTCGGAGAATGTGACGCTTCTCTCGTTAAGGTAAGCCCCAAGCAGACAATGCGCACTACATTTTTTCGTTTTTGAGGTGTGCATGGTTTTGTATGACCTATCTCATGTTGACCGTTTCTTATGATAATCATGCTGCTCGGCTAGTCCTCGTCGCTTTCTTTCGGTACTTAACGGTCTATACTTAATGTGTATTTCAAATGGTTTTTTTTTTCAAAAAAATTGAAACTGAAGAACCCGTTCTTTAAATTACTTTTGCATTAATTACTCAACCAAATTTACCATTTAGTTGCCTTCAAATCTCTATTCATGTTTTGTAACATGAAGTTGCTGGTCTGGACACACGGATGAGTGCATGTTTTCTCTTGATAGGGCTGTGAGGAACGCACTTTTCAAATTGAGAATCAAACCATCATATTATGCGCCATTGTGATCGGGGTGGCTCTCATTCAGGTAAGTTATGACCTTTTACATGGAATACCACATGGGTCAGGCGTCTCTTATTCGGCATAAGCACCTGAGACCATAAAATTCAGATTATTTTTCCCTAATCCATTTGGACCAAATGGGAACGCACATTCTCTGCATACGTCCCAGCGCTAAAGTTAATTTTAGCCTCCACAAAGTTAAAGGTACTCCGCTTTATAAGGCGCTTTCCTGTGTCATATGCATTTGACCACTGACAGATGAGTGAGGATCTCTAATAGGGCATCACGAATGCCGCTACTTTGGCTGTCTGAGTACCTCTTTCAGATGGACCTCACTATCGAATTGGAAGGTTCAGATTTATTCACTTTCGAGGTGATCCTCCACAAACTGTTAACAGATTTGTGGTTAATAACAAATTATCATTTAAAACAAGCCTGCATCCGGTGCTTAGGTTTGGGTCTTTTGCTTTCTTTAATGGCGTACTTCGTCTTCTATTAGCCTGTATCCTGTATTGCGTTTAAATTAACGCCCAAGTCCAGAATATTGTTTGAGGCACATGTCAAGTTTGTCATATTGTATGGATTTCTTTGTCCAAAGGTCCAACTGCGGAAGTGTTTTAAATGAATACTTTATTCAATTCCATTTTGATGTTTCGAATGCTGAACAGTTTTAGAACCATTCGGTGGGCCATTGTAACTGCAATTTTATTATTATTATTATTATAGCTCGTTGGTTTGATTTTCTCGATGGTACTTTGTTGTGCCGCCAGGGACAGGCACAGCGTCGAGTACTACGAACCTGTGCGCACTTAAATACGTGTAAAGACCTCATGTGTTTACGTGTATCCCAACCAACGGCTGCCTCTGTCAGTGCTTTTCGTAAATCACCGTTCCCCTCGCAAACACTCCAATCACTGATTGTGATGTCTTCATACATTGTAACCATTTTGTCTACTTCCTCAGTTTTTGTTTTCATCCTCTACCCCTTATAATATTCCTTTGCTGTACAAACTGCCAGTCCCTCTGCTTTTCCATACTTGCGTGTCCTTTATAATGACCTATTAAACGTTCCTTCGACTATCCCATTATTGCTGACGAATTAAGGCTCTGAATCGGCAGAGCGGTATCCTGGTTCTACTTTTTAGAACAACCCTCCTTTTTCAATACCATTTTTGGGTGCCTTCGCTAAGCTAGTGGCGCACATGATTTCAAGGTTATCCGTCGTCCCTATGGAGTCTTCGGATCGCTAACTCCTGTCCTGTGGATTTTTGAGTGCACGTGCTAACAGGTCAATAAAGAGTGTGGACGAAGCCGGGTTTACAGAGAGTGCTTCCTTTAATCAAGGTCCTGTGGTGGGTCTTCACGTTTAGAATAAGGTGCATCCCACCCCATCAGCTGGTCTGCTGTCCGATTTACGAGCTTTTTTTCGGAATTCTTACGATGTGAACTAAGTGCACAAAGAATTAAACATCAAATACTTGAATAAATTATCATGTGCTCAAAGACCCATCCCCTCACCTTGAAAACCACTGAAGTCATCAAATACACGCAAATGACCTACAATTCGCATCCAATGAATGCAAATAGCTGGGTCTAAGAAGACACATATCGTCCATCAACTAATGCGTTTATTCTAAGAACTTATTAGCCATTTCAGAATTCTGTTTTTGCACATTGATGGAGGGAAATTTAATGAAGCTTTTGTAGATCATACCAATAGAGGCAGGCTGTTCGATACTTAACTTACTGCTTATTCATATAGTTAGGGGATAGTTGAAAATACAATGTGTTTCATAACCATTAAGTTTGTTGAAAGTCATGGCCTAGTCTTTTAAGGTTAACTCTGACAAGTTTCAGTTTTACAGTCAGGAAATTCGCAAAATCATGCACACCAGATTCGCCTTCAAAAAATTGTCCTAATTGTGGTCTATGAGGGCTTAGGGGTGTGTTATCCAACCACCGAATCAGTTCCTGTTGTATCATGGTAGGTCGGCAAAGCCGTTCTCCATTGAGGTAGCATTGTCAACCACCGAAGTTTTTCAATGACTGCTCAGGCCTTCCTAAAAAGAAGGGTTCTTTGGTGAAGACTAACAGTTTCTTCATTTAAGAAGTCCAGATTTTGATCAATCCGTCCCTCCTAGTTTGATGTAGTCGGCTACGTGGAGTCTCCTGACATCATTACCCTAACAAACTGTTTTTGGAGATTGATAGTACCAATCTAACTCCCTGGGACCGAATGAAACAATGGACTTGAACACCTACTGCACGTGGAAAGTTTAAATGTGCCCATTTACTGGTCCAAGGCTTTCCAAAGAGGCGTTGCCTTTTGATGCCAAATTATGCATGGCATGAAATAGGCATGTGTATTAGAACGTATCAAATCATCCGAACATGTCTCAAAGTATGCATTATTTGGTTCCCTATACCATGTACTTATTTTTTTGCTTTAATCTTAAAATTTGAAATCAGTATTTTAATGGTCTAATTAGCGTGCGTGTTAGGAAGGATCCTTTCTATTACAGTGAATTTCATTGAAGATTCCAACCAACGCAATTTTCTCGCGGCAACTCCATGAGAATATTCATCTCACATTTGACGTCGACATGAATTGCCAGGTCTTAGGCTATAAAAGGCGCCTGGTGACATTTGAGCGTAAGCGTCACGTTGAGGCGGCTGAAACTTACCACAGTCTGTGCAAGGTATTTTTTTAAGGAATTCGAAAAAAACTCGTGTCTTTCGCACACTATTTCTGGGTACTTATCTATCTTGGCGACGGAATTGCCTAAACCGGGCATTTGTTGGAAAGGAAAATCGCTACTATGTCATCTTCCCCGCACTGTGCTCACATTCCCAAATGTGCAAACGAAAGGATTACAAGTATGAGAGACTCCAGATCCTTTAATAATGTACCAGAGAATTATTAAGAGTTCCGGTCATTCGTTTCCAGCATACATTCCTTCGGTGAATAGACTGGAAAACTTACGGTGGTACACTTTCATATGCAGGTGGAAAAGAATTAAACGTGTGTGAGAGTGCATGCACAATCAACACCAATTCTCATATTCTCTTGTGCGTCTTAGTCTGTTTCTGATGCGCTCACGAGGGACAGTACACTTGAAGTACACTTGAATCCACCATCTCTTAATTTGTATGTATATTTAAGAGATGTATGATGTATATTTTTTAGTACACTTGTATTTGTATACGTAGACACTTCTTTCTAGTGTATTAACATGGAGGGTTCGGAAAGGGCGTGTGGTGTTCTAAATGGTCTTTTCCTTCACCAAAGAAAATGCCAACTGTGACATACTAATTATACCCCAAAGGTCAGCATAAATTGTCCTAATTTAAAACCAGTCTGAACTATTTCTACGGTGAACACTTTTAACCTCAGATTTTAAATGAAAACTTAGTAAGGAAAAAGCCATGAAATCTGTTATACCTAGGCGAAACGCCAATTCGTACGTTTCCCTGAAATCAATAGCTCCTCAGAGCTCATTTACGCTGTCTTGGTCGTACAGGTTCATTACGTTTAAGTCAATATTACCCCTTATACCAAATAAAACACGGGTAATGGCTTTGATTTAAACCTGGCTTAGAAACCAGATATTTCTTTACAGCACATGTTCTATGCCACGGCCTTTTCGTTCAAATTAAAATAAAATAAATAGCCAATAAAATATCGTAACCCACCACATTTACAATTAAACTGAAACTAGGTGCCGTCGTCGCCCTTCATTCACCTACCCTACTCCGAAGTTCATTATGCATTGACAAATTCTAAAAAGCCCCAATGATTGTGAAGAACACCTTGAATATGCTAACCAACCAAATCTGCTACTGCTGTGCAACGTCCAGATATCTACGTTCACATTCGGCTCCCGAGTATTGTCAAATCTGGAGTCACACTCCTCGATGCTGACTTCACCATAGTAGACTGGATGTAGTGGATTTGAAAGCAATGGAAATGACCACGCGTGAATGCATGTGCACACCCACATAAATAACATGGACTAATAAATATGCAAATAACCTGTTCGGTCTATGGCGTGCAGTTACGACAAAATAGACGAACATTTGGTAGTGTTAGTGTTAACGTAAATTTTTCTTTTATTCACAACGTGGTCTGTCAAGCGGTTGGTTCGATGTCCAACTTTCATAAATGGCTTTGTGTTTGCTTAGCCAATCCGTTTTTTTAGTAAATTGCCATGAGGTTCGTTAAGCCCGTTGAAAGCTCCGGGCAGAGCTCGCACCTACACCTGGGCAACGAAATAACCGATGCCGTTGGGTACGACCCGACATCAACTACGTAGAAAGGAATGATAAGGCCAAAGACAGTGGAGACTCATTCATTTATTGAGCTGGTAAGAGTTTGTTCACGCTTGTTTTTAAATTTCGCGTAGGTTTGGGGAAGGATGTCAATATACTAGGTGGATTATCAAAGGGGATTAACAGGGGATCTGGGGTGGAAACCCAAGGGGGGACAAAGCAACATGTCCAGCCATGTATGTACCCCCCGGATCAGTCTTGTATCAACAAGACTCCCTATTTGCATCTTTTGCGCAATGCCAAATGATGACATCATTGATGAAAAGATCATACAGAAGTAGATCAGTGATTTTCATCTGGTTGAGAAGCTCCATTGAATGAAAAGTTCATGTGTCCATGATGCTTGAATCGCCTGGAGCATTGCCACCTCATATAGAAGAATATGGAATGTTTTTCAGAGCACCCGATACCCAACTCAGAGAGATGCGGGAAGTTGAAAGCTTCATTTTTGTAACAAATAACCAATTGTGGGAATAATCTTGCTTTATGACAAAAAAACGACCATCTGGAACATTATAAGGTCGTGGAAACAGTAAGTGAACAATCAGGATTTATGCAAAGCCATTATTTCAGGGTCAGAGGTATAAGTCTTACAAAATTGTTATTCAAGATTCATGAGTCATATCTCTGTGATATCTCGAATGTTGCATGGGAAACGCGTCAAAGTAGCCTCAGAAATGACCTCTGGATAGTCTCGAGCGGCGAAGACGACCTTGCAATAATTTAAGGGACAAATGCTGCGCTACTCTTCCACCTACAAACTGCCACATGTGGGAGCTGGGAACGTCATCTTTTCAAGGAGACCTGTCGTTGTGTAGCTAAGGTCGTGAAATCATGAACGATTTTGCGTCCTCGGTAGAGAGCGTTTTATTCAACAGGCAATTTCTTAAATTCAGAACGCTACATCTTTCTTTGAGTAAGTCATTGAAGGCTCTCTAATTTGCGAAACCCATTATTGCCCATAGATTTATGCAATCATGTCAAATCAGAGTGGATGCACAAGACCATATATGTGTTAGCAACGTTTAAAGCCAGGTTTACTACTATTGATTTGGGTATTTACTAGAAACCGCCTATTGTCGCATTAATTCACCCTCGTTTTAAAGACGCATGTGGCGAACTCAGCTTCTTATGGGTTCCCGTTCAGGTGGACGAAATCCTCAAAGTCAGAGCTGTGTCCTGAAAATACTCACATTTGATTGGCCACACTACCGATTTGCTACCACCACCCACTTGGGGCTAAACGTGGGCCAGAAAATCTCACTTGTGAGTGTCACTTGGATCTTTATCTATGCCCCTTTATGCAATCTTCATCAATGTTACTTCAACTTCTCCATTATGCTACCATCGGGCATTTTACTAGTTTTTTTTTAACTGGAAGTTTTTTTAATTGGAACGATTATTTTTCGTAACAAGTTTGTGAGAATTGATGTGGTACTAACTGGTGCCAGGATATCTTGACCACTAACGCCTGTGAACTAGTA